AGACATAAAAAACATATGAAATGATCTCACTATGTTAGTGAAACAAACTGAAAATACCAACATGAAATTGAAAGCAGGCAAATGCAAAATTCTTTATTTGAGAAGATCATTCAAAGGCTAGGTATCAGAACTGTGTCGACCACTGCAGTGCCACGAACTGCTGAACTGCCGACCATTCGATCGACAAGCTCAGCGTCTTAGCCACTGAGCCACCATGTCCCTCAGTCTTGAACTAAGAGGATGCAATTTAACAGGAAGAAGTCTAAAGTCTTGTATCTGGAAAGAAAAATAGAAGAAATAGATATACGGGGGAGCTCCAACTTGACAGAAGTACACATGACACAAATCTGAGTGTAGTGATAGTCACAAGCTGCATATGAGCCAATCATGATACAGCTGCTAAAATAGTAAATGCAATATTGACAGGAGACAAGAGTCCACTTCCCAGAAAGTAAGTGTCCTATTCAAATCTCCTTTAGTAATTTCCCCAATGCAATATTATATCCAGTTCTGTACCCTGTAATCTAAAAACAAGGTAGACAAATTAGAGTACTACCAAAATACTTAAGGGAGTAGAAATTAAGTGTTGTGCTTAAATGAACTGGATGTGTTTATCCTGCAAGAGAAGACTCAAGAAGTGATATGATAGCAGTCAGATCTCTAAAGCTGTCATACGGACAAGGGAGTAGAGTTGTTTTCTGTTGCTTTGGAGGGCAGAAGCAGAACCAATTAGTTGCGATTGGTTGAAACAACAAGGAAATAAAATCAGGCTAGACATTTGGAGGAATTTCCTCTTAGTAAGTGAAGTTGCGTCATGGTAGAATAGGTTGCCTCATGAGGTATCATATTCCCTTTCATCAGAGATCTTCAAGCAAAAATTCCAACCAATACAGTCCTGAGCTTTCTTTTGCCAATTGGGCCTACCAAACTTGCTAATATCAACAATCCATCTTGTTTTAGGCCTCCTTCGTGGAAGCTTTTTATCAAGTGGGATCCATAGTATGTTATACATTAGGTACTAATGCAAGTACATGGTCTTGAAGAACCTTTTCGGTTATATGCATAGTGCGGAAGTAGACATTTACAAATGAAAATTGTAAGACTCGCCCTGATGAAATCAACTGAAAATGTATTATGTCCACACATTATTTTTAATATTTATGGATTTGATGCTAAGTTATCTTATTTCGTACAATGTCAACCATGTACTTCAAAATTGTTGTTTTTAATATTTAATACATGGAATCAGTAACATTTGATATTGTTGTTTAAAAAATAATGCAGTTGTTTTTAAGTTCAAGAACAAGAAGTTTGTGACATAAAAGCTCTTTCTAATTTTGTGCAGAGACACAATATCTATGGACATGTCCCAATTTAATTGCAATTTAAATTGTGTTGTATTTCATTAGATCTTGGGATGGATTAAACTGCCCCATTAATTTTGTAGTTCCATATTTAAAAGGTTTAACTCTTTATTTTACTGAGTCATGCATGAATTTTAACTCCAAATGCTTCTTTAATTTAAGCCCATTCACTTCAGTGCTACTTGCTCTCACAAAAATATTTTAGAGATTAGTTTTTAAAATCCAGAAGAAAGCTGAAGTGTTTGGCAATTCATACTTGATTAATTAAATTACTTGTAAACTGAATTACTTGTTTTTGATGTAGGGAAAGCCTTTGATAATTTGAACTGGGCTTTTTTCAAGGTATTGGTAATACTTTGAATTATATGTTATAAATTTTGCAGACAACTTTATAAAATTGATATGATTGATTTATACTTGCAAAAAAGCACAAATAATTATTAATTGAGATGTAACAAAATTATGTGAAGTAAAAAAAAAAAAACAAGACAGAAATGCCCACTATATGTAGTTCAGGGTTAGCCTGTAGGCTTTAATACTTCATTTGAAGATTTCAGCTGAACAGAAAGAAACTAGAATATTGTGAAATTTGCTTTCTAACTAGACAGTGCTCCAGGAATATTATCAAAAGGAAATTTGTAATTTTAAACCATGCTCTTAAAATAATAGCCTCCTCTTTATAGAGTTTCTCTAAGCAATTACTAAAAACTGTTTACAAACTTTGCTGATGAAGGAAAAGCTCAAATACTAAAATAATGGCCTCACTAGAGACTGCTACAACCCAAAGACATTATGCCCAATGACTGTTGATATTGATGTATATATTCAATATCAAAAATATCAAAATTACTGACTTTTTCTCCAATAAATTCTTGTAACCAAAGCAGTGACATAAAAGAATATGGAAAAGAAGCAAAACACTAAATGAATGTTATTTGGACCTTATCACTCTTAGGCAGATATTACCCCCATTATAGATAAGAGATAATATTTCCAATATTCCAATTCGCTCAGGAAATAGCTATTGCTGAGAGACAGTTAAACACTGAAACTGCTGAAGAACACAGGGACAGTAACATACTTATGGAAACAACCATGTTCAATAAGAACTCAATCTCTAACAACAAAGCCCTCTACCAAAGCACCTTCAACTTTTTTCAGCCATATGGCTTGAGAATCCTTATTGTCAAATAAAGAAAATAATTTGAGGGGTTCATCAATTTCTGTTTGCTAGATATTTGCTAGAGACGTTTTGGGAGAACAACATGACACTTCTAACAAATTTGTCATGAAATGGTCATCCAATTTATTCTTACTGAAATATTTCTATCTATTTCAAATAATTGTTTGATGACTCTTATCAAATTAATTTCAAATGGCATTAGATCATAGAGAAGCACGGTATTTCATTGGTAATTCCAATAAGAAAATTTTAGTAAAAGAAGCTTTTGTGGAACTCTGAAAGATTCATATATGAGGCAAAGGAAAGCAATGAAGATATTTGTCTTTTTGGAGCAGACATTGCTTTTTGGGGGTTCTTTGCCCAAACTTTCATTGAAATGGGGCACCTTTTTAAAGCTTTGCGAAGTCAGAGTTATGTTAAAGTGCCATACTCCAGCCTCTGAGTTTCATATATTTATGTTTTCTTATTATTATAACATAAGACATATTGGAAATAAAATATGTTTGGAATCCCTTGTTTTATTTTTTTCTCCTAATTACCAAAGAATGTTGGTGGAAAAACTACTATCATTCACTTTTCCTAATATACGGTGATGAAGAGTTAACCGAATAACAGAATAACAGAATTGAAAGGGACCTTGAAGGTTTTCTAGTCCAAACTCCTGCTTAAGCAGGAAAACCTATACCATTTCAGACAAATGATTGTCCAATCTCCTCTTAAAAATATCCAGTGTAGGAGCACCCACAAGTTCTGAGGTAAGCCTTTTCACTGGTTAATTGTTCTCACTGTCAGGAAAGTTTTCCTCTCATTGGTTGTCTCTCTCTCTTTTTTTTTTTAATTTGATTTAAATGCCGTCCTTCTCCGGAGACTCAGGGCGGTTTACAATGCGCTAAGCAATAGCCTTCATACTTTTGTATATTTATACAAAGTCAGCTTATTGCCCCCACAATCCGGGTCCTCAATTCACCTACCTTAGAAAGGATGGAAGGCTGAGTCAACCTTGAGCCTTGGAGAGATTCGAACCTGCAGTAATTGCAGGCAGATGGTCTTAATAACCAGCTTAATAACAGGGTGCCTTAGACCACTGTACTACCAAGGATGGAAGCTGATTAGCTTCCATCCATTGCTTCTTGTCTTGCTTTCAGGTGCTTTGGTTGACCCACCCTATTTTGGGGAAGAGCTGCCCTTAGATATTGGAACACTGCTATCATGTCACTGCTATAAGTTGGTTGAGTATAGTTCAGTACTTAAAATTGTTTGTTTAACCACGTGTTAAGTAGATGTTTTTCTAAACAGTTACAGGTATAAGTTTACACATCAACTCATCAATTGAGCTGTTTCTGTACACAGATCTAGCACTTTTCTGAAAGAGCAGTAAACTCATGTCCAAACAAGCCCCATTAATAAGCTGCAGTTAAAGAGGAGGGAGGTGGATGAAGAAGGAAACCATTAATAATAAGAGGACTCTGTCCTCAGGTACTGGAACAGCAGTGCTGAGAGTAAGTCTCTTTCTGCCCTTGTGGCCAGATAACAGCTAGAAGTAGCCCATGAACAATTATAGAGCCAGAATAGAGCAAGGAAAAGAGCACTTTCCTTCTTAATAATAAAAATGGTAAAATATGACCATGGAAAACTCCTTATTGGTAAAAGTAGCAGGAAATGTGCACTGCATTCAGTAGAAGTAGAACACAACTGGCATAACCCCGCTTTCTTTCCCAATCTAGATAATCTTTTTAGCCACATAAGCCTAAAATTCTCTAATATGTTATAAAAACCTTAGAAAAGATTTTAATAGACTCATAAAGTGATGAAGATGTAATTTCCAATACTACTACTGTCTTATTTTCTCCTGATATCTAGCTGATATCGCAGGGATTCAAAGCATCCCAGCTTTGTGAAAGTCTGAAGCAGATTGATAATTGTTTGTTTGTTTTAAAAATATAAAAGCAAAGTGGTGTACTATATATATATTATTACATTTCAGTAAAATAACATGTTTTGGCATTTTCAAGTATTGTCTCCCTTTTAAGCCAGAAATAAAAAAGCTATGGGACAGAAGTAAATGCAAGCACCCAGAACATTAGGTGTAGCACCTGATGTTCATCCAAAAGTTCTACCAGATTGTAATTTTAAAGTGGCAGAAAGGAAACTAATAAAATGCATTAGATGTAATCACTTTAACAGCCTTTAATTAAACAGAATTAAATCATATTTAGCTCTTGCAGCTACTTGGCTGCCTTAGTCTCACCCATTTTCCACAGGGTTCATTGCACTGCTGTACCTCAAAAAAGAGAGGGATGCACCATTTTTGAAATATTGAAAGTTTTCACCAGAAAACTTCACTACCTACTTTACTCCTCACCCTATGTAGATAAAGAAGTAGTCTTAATGGGATGCAGATTAAGTCATTCACAATTTAACGTGAAGGGACACCTCTCCAAACTCTAATTCACCTAGATCAGGCAAGCTTTGGAACAGTGACTGCTTTTGCTCTTCTTCCTCTTTCTCTTCCACCTGCTAGGAAACAAAGAAAAAATTATATTTCCTGTTTTATAACAAAAAGTAATGATACTGCTTGTGTTTGAGTAGAGACAAGATGCTATTGATAGATTAGGGGTCAAATATATTCCATGATGCTCCTTAGCAACTACAACTACCAACACCACAAGCGGAGGACTGATGTCCAACTATCCTATCACTGCTCCACTCTTTTGTGAACTTTATAAAAGACAAACCCCATCCTGACCCTGATCAGGTTTTTCTTATCACAAACAGACCCCAAACACCTTCTCCATTTTTATTCAACAGTGTATGAAAATCCCATTTTTTTTGCAAATTTCTCGAGTGACTAGCAGTTTTCAGCCAGGTGGAAATTCAACATGGGAGATTTGTTTTCTTCTAGGAGACCTGCTTACGGTCTTGAAGTCACGGTATTGACTGAAATTTTCTTCCAACTATTCCACCTGTCAGTGCTTGTTTGTATTTCAAAGGAGCCAATTAAAAGAAAGTTAAGTTGGCAAATTATCCATCTTTTTGTTTTCATGTCTTTTAGTATCTGGAGGGATTTGGAAGGATACTTTTCTTGTTTTTTTGTCAGAATGATTACTGGATTATGTAATAAAAAAGGTTATAACCCTTTTTGTTTACAGGAAAGGATTTAATTGTTGATTTTATATGTCTTTAAACTCTAGGCAAATATAGGTATGTGGCATATAGAAAGGAGAAGAACATCAAGAAAGATTTATACACAACATTGCTATTTACACTCACACTGTGCCCTGTATGTTTTCTTTTCTTTTTTCTGTCTAACAATAAGGGAGAACAATAGTGGAATTTAGAAATATAGGCGTTCCGTTTTCGCTAACTCTGACAAAGGCACTGAACATTTAAAAATGCACATATTTTGCACCAAATTCATGTGAGATTATAAACATGTTTTAAACTATGAATCTATAACAATAAAATATAAAACTCTTTTATTTCTATGGAACTAATTTACAACTGTATATATATTATGCTTAGTCATGTGAATCTGATCCATTTTATCTCCTGCCATGCAGAGCAAGATTCTTCGTAGAATAGATTTTCCACTTTGGAACATAAATTAAAAATGTGTGATCACATAGACATGCCAAGGAGAGTCCATAGAGAGCCCTCTCCCTTTTTGGGTGAAGCACTTTTGTAATAAAAGGGGAAAAAGGAAGAAAATAACCACATAGACCTCCAGTCACTTTATAATTTTCTAAAGTAAGATTTTTCTTGAGAGTTCAACAAGTTGAATTTTATGCTTATTCTTCCTGCTATTGATCTGCTGAAATGAAAAAAAAAAAATCACCCAAAAAGGATTTGTAACCATGGACTCTAGAACCTGCTGGACACCAATTCCAGGAGTTCAGACTATGGCCTCCTGGAATTGGTGAAAGGAACTGACAGTTGCATAACAGCAAGATCTGGATGTTTGCAAGTTCACAAAATGATACACAGAATGGAAACCTTAGATACCTAAACTGAAATCCTAGAAATATTTATCTGAAAAAGCAAATTTCATTGAAATTAGTGGATTAAATACAGAATTTGTTTCCTGGTAAAGAGACAATTATCCTCATTTATTTCCCAATCAGTTGAAAACAAATTACTGTACATCATGGCGCCATCATGGTGCCATGTAAAAATCCCAATCTTGCCATTCCCTTTAAAGAGCATATTTATGCAAGAGGTATATTAATATTTATGTAAATATAGCCCTTAATTTATCATTGCAATGTCTGGTAAACTCAGCAAAGATTTATCTTAACCAAGAAAAAGGGTTTTAGCTAACATTATTTAGCTACGCATATACACAAATATATACTATGAAAAAATCAAAATGTAATTTAAAAAGCCCTACGTTTATTGTATTTGACAATTAAATTTGGAAAGAAAGAGTTACTTGAAGTTAGATTATTTTCATTGGCATAAAACTTTTGAAAATCTGTTAATGACAAAATAGAGTAAATGATAAGATTTTTCCAACAAAACAGAAAATTGTCCAACCTCTTCTCAGAAAAGTGCACAGTGAAAATGAATATGCCAAAGTAAACAATAGGGATTGTTTCAAAATATACATCATTTGAAATTTATTTTTTGTTTTGAAACTTTAAAAAAAATTAACTAAATTCAAAAGGCATTTTATTGCTCCCAGTTTTCACATCTAGGGGAATGTTAAAGAAAATGTTGTTCATTTTAATTATCTTAATATTGTGTAAGTAATAAGTAATAATATTTAATACTAAAATTCATATTTAGATATAGTTTTGAAATGACTTATTTCCAGTATTTATTAAATTACTTTGAAAGCTTTTATTTTAAATGTTCCCCTTACTAACCTTTTGTGTGTCTCTTAAAGAACACATGGCATGAATTATTTGCATAATATTGGAAAGACAAAAATTTAAAGATAGGTCCAAATGATTATTTGCAGAGCACTTCAGAAACAGGTAAAACCCAAAAAGATTTTGGGCAGAACTGAATTCATCCAGTTTGTTATCAACTTAATTTTTTTCACAAATGGATTCTTAATTACATTACATTTAAATAACTGGTTATTATATTACAAATTATTCTATATAAAGTACAATGTTTAGAATCAGAGTGTTGGGAAATAAAACTAAAAATAAATTTAAAACAATTCCTTTATTTTCAAGATGTTATTTTAGCTCTGACATTAAAAGGCATATGAGAAAAATTCCAAATAGCCAATGCTAAATTTATAAACTGCAAAATTTTAGAGGGAGGCACTGAATTCATTCTTGGAAGAAAATCTCTAATCACATTTCTGAAACAACAGGGTTACTTTAGATATAACTCTTGATTGAAAACTGACCTTTTGCTAGATAGTATTTTCAAGTGTCCCGTTTCTACCTCTTACATGTGATTTATATCTTTATTTTCTAAAAGTGTTAACTGTAAATCTGTTTGCAACAGACAGTGTAGAAGTAGGACAATAAGTCTTAATAGGCATTCCCTGAATAAATCTTTTCAAGTCAACAAGTCAACTTCTTAAGGAAACCTGAATCAGCTTCCGTCTGAATAGAAACTATATTCCTTGCAATTTACGTTTCTGAGGGAATATTAAGCTTCCTTTAATATATTCGCCCCTTTTCTTAAAAGCCAATGAAGCTGCTTTACTTCCAAGAAATGTGATGATTTATAACTTTGGCTACAGATAATAAAAATTGAACTATTTATGACAATTTATCATTTTTGAATTATTATTAAACTTTTAGATGAAATTTACTAGGTTGGCAACTTATTTCTCACCATCTAGAAATGTTCTTTCTTCACTGTTTCATGGTGTTTTGGAAGTTAGCTTTCATGTTATATAATCTGTATTCTTTTTAATCATAATAATATATTTTTCCCAAGCAGTTCCATTTCAGTGCGTATATGTTTTACACAGTTACGCAGTCCGTATTTCTAAATAAATAATACTGTCCCAATGTTATTTTTATGCAATAAAAATATATGTGTTAAAACCAAAACAAATTAGAATTCAGATGTTTTATACTTATTCTAATAAACCTATACAGTACATGCTTCTTCAGATTTACATATTTTACATCTAACAGATGTATATTCAGATAACATATTTTACATCTAACAATATAATACACTTCAGTAACTCTTCCAAAGAATTTTCCCATCCCAATAGATTTGTCCCTGGAAACAGAAAAGGCAGAAATCAACTAGTAATTTGGACAGTTAGCAAATTACTTAAAAGTAGTGCCTCCTTCCTTAATGAGTGACACCATTAACAATTTTTTCCCCCTGACTGCAGACCCTGTTCAAATACCTTGGACACCTTGTTAGCACAGAATGAGCTGTTCAATCAAGAGACTGGGAACTGGAAGTACCAAGGCACAGTGTCTGAGTGGTGATTACAAGGGCAGGAGTGAGAATGCCAAAGTAACAGTCTTTGACGCTGCAGGAAACTGAGTAACCTTGAAGTCTGCATTTGTAAATCAGCCTGTATGATTATAGAAGTCACAAGCAAAGAGAATGCAGGGAACAATTATTTGCAGCATTCTTTCGATGTTTTAATTTGCTCCCAAACGTGAAAGGAGTGCTGCTAAGAACCTCTGCAGAGTAGTCATTTCACAGGGATAATTTTAAGTTACTTCGGAGTAGAAAATGCAACAAGGAATTATTGTTTTCAGAAGATGAAACTGCCTTCTATGCAATAGGACTTTATCTTGATTGGTCAGTTTTGATTCAAAAAATAATATTGATTCTTCTTTTTAAAAGCTTTTTTTTTTTTTTACTTTCCCAACATATTAGAGAAAAAGCTATTTTAATGCACACAGTTAGGTTCCTTGTGATGTGTGCATTCCTTGGAAATTATTACATGAAAAGGTTCAAATATATATATATATATATATATATATATATATATATATATATATATATATATATATATATATATATATTGTGCAAGAAACTTTTTTTGCACTTTTATGTGAGAAATGTTTTTTTATTAACCAATCCTTAAACTTCCTAAACAAAATTAATCCATCAGTTTTGAAAAAGCTTATTCTGAGATATGAATGTAATTTTAATTAACTACAAAATATGTTAAGTTTTTGTGTAAAATAAAGAAAATGATTTTTGTAACAGCTTTAATTAAAAAAAGAGAATACAGCAAAATGATACTTGGTTAAACATTAAACTGAGTAATATGGAAATTAATGAATGCAAATCTTTCTAATTCTCCAAAACACTGTCATCTTAATTTAAATATTAAAGCTAGTAGCCAAAGCCTAATAAGCCCTTAAAAATTATGTTTTATAAAACTAATAATGAAATTACTATAAATTGTGTTTCTGCATTTATAACTCTGATACAAAATAATTTCTTCCATTGTTTTTAAATATCCTTAAAACAATATTCTTAGTGCTGTGGTATTTTTTAAAATAAATTATTACATTATATAATTATTTAAATATATTATAAATTGCAAATTGATGTGCAAATATAAAATATAAGTGTTGAAAAAAACTATTGTCTTTTAGCCCAGTTGCTTGCCTAGGGAGAGAATGACAAAGTAACCTTTAATTTTTTTATTCTTATGATTCAATTGATAAGAATTTTTAGTAATACAACAAAGAATGATATTTTTATCATAAACGTCTCGATAAATCATCACTGTTCCTCCAATGTTCACATAGTTTCCCTCTTTTATTTTATAAAAGATATCCCTGAAGACATCAATATTGTAGAGGATTGGTACAATGTTAACCACATATACAACTGATAGAGGATAAATAATAAAAGGCTTTAAATAAATAGTAACATTTCTCAATTCTAAATTCTGAAAGCAGAACAGAAACTTTACAGTGTGTGTGTGTGTGTGTATATATATATATATATATATATATATATATATATATATATATATTATATGTATTACATATATATTACATATTACATATATCCATATATATTGCATATATTATATTCAATTATAAGCAAATATTTCATATTAAACTTAGCAATGTTAATTAAGGATCTGGTGGTTTGTTTCTTGTATGACGAATTTGTTAGATGAATAAAGCAAAGTAAGAGAGGCATATAAGTCTATAATTCCACATACCTATTAGTTTTATATTTTAGCATCTCAAGAGTCCAAAAGAAAACCATCACTGGACAGAAATAGATTTTAAAAATACCTTTCTTTGAACTGGGTTGTCTGTTTAATTTTTGTTTAGCTTTTCCAAATCTAGAGGGCGCTATTGTTCATTAATTTCACATTTCAGTCCACATAAGGGAATGAAATCTCAGTAGCTTGATGTTTATATTTTAAAAGTTTCCATATATGAGCAACACGAAACATTTCCAATTCTCTTTTATTTGAAGGCATTATGAAAGTAGGTTTTTTTTTAGTCTCACAAAGTGCTGCTGGGTTGCAAACAATCGATGTCAGAGTTAAATGTCAGTGTTTCCATATAAAACTCACTTGGCAGAGATTGATAACTCAGCTTTTAATTCCTTGTATTCCAAAAGTTTCAGAGGCAAGGGTTTCATTTTGACAGCTATAGCATAAAACATACTTATATAAAAAGAAAAACAAGTTTAGGTTTTTTTTAAAAAAAGTACTGATATGTGATTTTACACAAAATTACACTATGCAAGATTAGCTTTTTAGCTTATTGCTTAGCTTCTAAGCACATAGAATGATTCTGTTTCAGGCATCTCAATTTTACACTGCCAGTGTTATAATCAGTTTTCACTGCTATAAATTTTTTAATCCTGCAATATAATTTTTCTTTTTAAAACAAACTCCATTAACAGTACTTTAATCGACCAATTAATACATATGCTACAAATACACACATACACACACATGTAAGCCATTGCTGTGATGGCAATGATGCATGTCAACATTCAAATTATCGAAAAAGAACCTGCTAGTTCATACTTGGCATCATAGGTGTCTTCCTAAGGGAGAAAATATCATTTTAGAATTTCACTTATCCAGGTTTTTTGTCAATTGATACAGTTTGATTAACTTAATAATTCTTCAATTAATATTATATTAGATATGTGTTATACAGAGTTTGATCTAATAGATTGCTAACTGATTTTTTGATCAATAATACCACCACTACACAAACATAGCTACATATTCAGACATATGGAATTTTCACTGTTTCAACACCACCAAGAAACATTTTTTAACTTTTTCTTATAAGATCAGTTTCAACAAAAAAGAATATGCACTTGCACATTAAAGCCAGAGAGTTTAAAAATACTTAGGTCTGTGAAGTTATGTTGCTCTAGTAAGAAAAACCAGGTATTGTAATGAAAATTTCCTGTCAATACATATGCACTGCATATTGTTTGTGTTCAGTTGTGACTTGTCTTTCTACTAAAAACTCTTAGAATAAAAATAAGAAAACAATCTCACAGTTAAATCTTGATTATTTCTGTCAAAAGTGTAAGAAAGTTCCATAGCTGAAAAAGAAATCAGATACAAATACAAGAAATATTATTTTCAAAAAGCAAAATAAATCTGATATTTTATTGCTTACGCTTGTTCTTCTCTCCTCTGAAAGCTTCAAAATGTAACTCAGGATATTATCATCTCTTTTTCTCACTGTTTTGTTTAAATCAAGCTATGAATATAGTTGAGGGTTTTATTCCTACCTGCTTCTCATATAGAATTTCTCATTTTCTCACAAAATGATTTAAAAATTGAAATACTTCTATAGACTTCTACCAATGTATTTGATCAACTCAGTCTTATGAATTCCGTATACTTTATAAAGTTGCTTCACTTTGGCTTAATAAGAAGGAGTAAACAGAGGGAGGGAGGGAAGAAACATGCATACATAAATCCTTGGAGATACACAAAATTGTTAGATGAAGTGTTATTTTTAACAATACACACACACACACACACACACATAAACACACACACACACTCTTTAAAAATTTGAACAGGATTTGTTCAAATTTGCTTTTGTTTCTTTTTCACTTTTCAACACTGACTTAGCATGGTAAAATGCATTTATCCAGCTCATTTATAAGTTTTTTTTCCCCCTAAACTGAAAAAAAAGCACTTGAATATAACAGTAACAGTTACATTTCATTTCCAGTCTTTTTGAAGCAAGTAGCCCTGAATTCAGCTGATTTGGACGCTGACATGCATCTGGCCCCTGTCTTGACGTCAAATCAGTGCCATCAAAACAATGGTTCATATTACAGGAAAATCTTGTGCAAATGAGCTATAATGGAAGTGAATGGCAATCTCCTAAGACTGTGCGGCAGGATTCGCCTTTGATCTGAAATACTGTTAATCTTTCTCAAACATAACACTGAGTACAGTTGGCAAATCCTGTAAGAGAGAGGTCTCACATAATTCAAGCCTCAGAAACGAGAGTGGTTAGGTGCCAATCAAGAGTTTCATATTAGCTACACAATTCACTGCTTCTCTTCTTCTCTGCCCCCTCCCTCAGTTTATGGCAAGGGTGTCTGGGTTGAATTGGACTTCTTTGCAGCTAAGTTAAATGAAACGCTTAATACATTGAATGAATTTCTGGTTGCAGAAAAATAGTATTTGCTCACAGACACATTTAATCCAAATGCCTCCAAAATTTACAATATTAGGATTGGCCCTTCAAACATGTTTTAAATGGCATTCATTCATCTCATTAAGATTCTAATGAGACTGCAATTTTATTGTGACCATAGAATGGAAAACAACCCAAATTACACACGTTATTTTCATTGTCAGGGCAAGTACGCTAAAGGAGTTTATACTTCATGAATAATGCACCAAGGAAAGTTCTTGAAGGTTACATCGTGTGTCAAGTAAAATGCTAAATATTGTAAAACATCTCCTTAGATTGTTTTACAGTCAAAATCAGATCATTCTTGCATATAACCAAATAAGTCCAGTGTGTGTGCATGTGGACAGATGCAAAAAGGGTAAATCATATTGATTCAGTGCTGGTCGGAAATATGTCTATTTCAGTTGTGTGCTGCTTTTGAAGTTCTGCCTAAAAATCAACCCCAGGCTTCAAAGAGAGAGGATTATAGCCTTTATTCAGCAATTAATATGGCTGAAACTCAGAATGTCAGAACCTGACAACCGTTCAGGCCAAGCAGTAGCTTGGTAGGGGTGCAGTCCTGCAGAAGAACTGGAATTTACAATAAAATCAGTGCATCTATGGATTTAAATACTTTGGGGGTGAGATGGAAAGGAAAGAACATAGTATTTCTAAAGTTTAACGACCTGTCTCTATTTTGACATAAAGGGGAGGAAAAAAGATGGTGGTGTCTCTTGACCTTTAACCCACCATCTCCACCTAGATCATTTTAATCTCCCACCAACTGTTAAGCAGAAAGACTGCTATTAAAGGGGAAACTATTCCCTTTGCCTTCTTACATAGATCAAATGACAACCTTTCCAAGTCCCTCCTCTCTGTAAGAGTCCAAGGATTCAAAAATGGTCAGAGCAAGCACGCGAACAGGATGCAGCAGCAGCAGCAATAACAACAACAACAAAACCAAAAACATTTTAGGTACATTTTAATGCAGATAGACAGACAGACCAACATTTTATAACATGAACCTAGTTTTGACTTAAATATTCCAGAATGATTTACACAGGGGGGACAAGGGATGGACCTTGGCCTATGCTTAATGTTGGTCCACCCACTAAAATTGCTTGTTGGAATTGCTTTCCATCATTCATGGAAAATGAAGTGTGTCACACAGATTTAGCTTCATGAATTTCAGATGTTAAATGAGAGAAGTATGCATGTAGAAATGCCCATTAAATTTGAATTGATTATGATCCAGTTTTTCTCCTAAGAAGAAAAACTGAATGGAACAGGAATATAAGAAGATGCCTTATATTGTCTCAGATGACTAGCCAATTCAGCCCAGTAATTCACAATACTAACAGAAATGTCAGGTAAAACAGCTTTTCCAGACCTACTTTGAACTGCCAGGAATTGAACCTGGAATTTCATCATGCAAAACACAGCCTTTTCATTTAAAAGCGAACTTCCTTTCCCCATTATTTTAATCAAAGATTTTAGTTTGCAATTGCATTTTGTGTTTTAGTGATCATAAATAATGGATAAGAATAATAAAAGTGAAATTGGTTGTTTGCATCTACTAGCACTAGTCTGTCAGAAGAGATTCCTAAGCAAGTATGGGACTTTATTCAATAGATAGTATTTTGTATAGTATTTTTGAAAGAATTCTGGTTATAAGATTAAAATTATAAACTGAGATGAATCTTGCTCATTTCCCTTGGGATATAATAGTTTAGTACAGTTATGCAAAAAAAAAAATCTGATCTCCATTGATTATACTAAAATTATGAAACTTAAATACTCAAAAATATTTTTGTGGAAATAAATATACTATTAGAAAATATTGAATCAAATGTAAACATATGGGTCAAAATTCCCTTTAGTTTGAGGTAAAACAAGTGTTATTAAAATAAATATTGCTCTGTGATTAATATATGTCCTTAAAGGTATTCCTATTTTAATACCAAATAAATATTTCTTTCAGGTTACCTAAGAAATATATTAGAATTGTAGACCATCAAGGTTTTCTTTAGCTAAACTGAGATTGTTATATGAGGAAGGTGATTTTAATCTATCTGATTTGCAAATATATCATTATATTTTATCAATCATCACAATGTGGAATGAAAATGTAGGGGAATATTATATTTATGGGGTATTTTGGAAAGTTGTTATTCATTTCCATTGTGGTTGGGGCAATAAATATATAGAAAAGTTCTTATTTCCAGAAATTCAGGCAGGAAATCTTTGGACCGAATTATGGCAACAATGAGTTTTTGTGATAATGAGGCTTATGAATACTCTTTGGAAAATAGGTAGTAAAACATTCAACTGGAACTGTCATGGAATTTTTGACAAAGAAAGGAGCTCAATGCTGGGGAGAAATGGCCAGACATTTTCAGTGATCTGTGGGTGCCTGATTTGCAAGCAAGACGGAATCTGAACAATAGAAAGACAGAGCTTTTTATACCTTTGGGAGTTGAGGGGCAGGAATTGATTCATGGACACCTTTTGAGCAAGTGAAATATGTGTTTAAACAAAGGAAAATATATTTTTCTATTATGAAACAAAGCTGCCAAGAATTCCATTGTGAAAAGAATGGAATGTTGAGGTAATCAAGCATGT